CCCCCATCTCTCAGGCAGGTTCTGATAAGCCCAACTGGGACCCCTTGACCTCTCTTTGGAGTCCCCAGTCCACTCCCTGCACCCACAGCCAGTTGTGTACAGCATCTCCAAACCTTGAGTTGTCACTGGAATCAGCTGTTGTGTTGTTGTTGGGTTTTTTTGTTTTGTTTTGTTTTTGGTGGGGAGGGCTTTTATCCCACCTTTGCTGTAACACACAGGCCCCGGATCACAGTGGGGATAAGCAGAACCACAGAGTTTAATGCCAGGAGCTTACTCATTGTCACATGGATTCTGTTTCCTTATGGGCTCACCTGGACCAGAATGGGGACTAGGGCAGTGCTGGGATTCATGAAATTCAAATACTATGGAGTGTTCAGGTTTTGTAATGAGTGACATCTCAGAGGTGTGCTCTGTGTCTGTCACAGTTTCTAACTGTGCGTCCTGCCAGAGATGAGAGCAGAAATAGGAAAAGAGAGTAGCTTGTCTCCTTCTCAGTGGAGGTGGGCACGCACTGCATCTCACAGCCCACCCTGCAGTGAGCCGAGGAGCTGATAACTAGATGAGCCCATCAGAGAATAAATCCCCTTTTCTGAGAATTCCGCCCCATTTTCAATCAGGAACAAAAGAGAGGGTTCTGCAGCTCCCACAGAACTTCCAGAAAGCAGGACCCTGCCCGACCTTTAGGTGCTTTCCTCTTCTGCTGTCCTCTTTTGTCTGTATCCTCACTAGCATTTATCTCTTGTCTTCTTGATGACTCCTATTCTGACAGGTGAGAGGTGCTATCTCAGTGTAGGTTTGATTTGTGCTCCCCTTATAATTAGTGATAATGAGCACCTTTCCATGTACCTCTTCGCCATTTGTATGCCTTCACTGGGAAAGTGCCCATTCAGTTTCTTTGCCCATTTTTTGATGAAGTTATTTGATGTTTTTACTATTGAGTTGTATGAGTTCTTTATATAGTTTGGATATTAATCCTTTATGAGATATATGGTTCACAAACATGTCTTCCCATTCTGTAGGTTATGTTTTCATTTTGCTGATCATTTCTTTTGCTAACCAAAGGATTTTAGTTTGATGAAAACTCACTTGTTTATTTTGATCGCCAAGACCAATGTCAAGGAGATTTTTCCGTGTTTTCTTCTCTGAATTTTATGGTTTCTGGTCTTTTATTTAGGAGTGTTTCCTGGTGAGAGTCTTCCTTTGCTTTTGGCATTGCAGTTAAATCCCTACCGAACAGAATTTAACAAGTCCCCTTGGTATAGCTTATCCTGTTTCTGACTCCTTCACATGTTCCCCATTGCTTCCATAGCTTCTGCTGCTTTATGGGATGTATTCCTTATGGTGACTTGATTAATATATCAATTCCTGAATATTCCAAGTCATTTCTGATTCCCGCTGGCCCGGCCTCTGCCCAGAGGAGGGAGACCAGCCTGCAGCCCTTGAGGGGGTTCCGGGCCTTTCCTGGAGCCGCTGGGCAGGGCTGATGCTGGGGGGGGGCGGGGGGCACCCCAGGCCTCAGCAACAGACCAGCGCCCCATGGACTGGCTTGTTGGGTGTAACATAAAACTCAGCAAACATTAGAGAGGATGGGAAAAATAGATGTTTCCGTCTGCCCTGTTTCCTACTTACTCTATTTGAAGGGTTAGTAGGTGGGGAAATGTTAGAGTTCTTGAAGCTGTAATAAATCCAAGTGTGTGGTAATTGTAATGTATGAAGGAATTCCCTAAATCATTCTAGTGCTTCTAAATTGATGATGGTGGACCTCCAGTGAGTGAAGGAATCATCAACATCATCTTGTCGCAAATGTCCCTCTAGAGAAAACCAGAGACAAGTCCTTGGAGAGCCACTTTTCCCTGGAAGGAAGCAGATGGCACTGTGCCTGGTGGGTTTTTCTCCCTCCCCTACACCAAACACTCAGTCTATTGCGAGGTGGTGGAGTTAAGCAGAGAATAAATCTTCTCTTCTGAGTTGAATCCTGTTGCTTCTGTTGGGGCACCTTTTCTCCTAAGAGATAGATCCTTGTGAGACAGGATTTCAACACTAACTCACAGAAGCTATTCGCTTTATTGGTGTATTTTTGCTTACCCCACCTCACATTCACCTCGTCTTCTTCTTTTTAGCTGTAAGTCTGTGGTAAGTTTTTTTTTTTAAT